TATATTTATCAAACATTATACTGGGCAAGTAAAAATTGTTACTGGGCAAATGAAATGTGAAAGTCACTTGCCCGAAGAGCAAGTGGTAAAAATTCTTAACGTCAACCCCTGAATAGATTCTGCAGAGTGGAAGAATAGTGATAGAATGAAGCAAAATGATGAAATGGGGGTCCCTATGTCCTCCAGCAGTCTAACCCTATAGCAGCATAACTATAGAGATAGCTCAGAATAACCTGAGCCACTCTAACTACACACACGTTTGAATACAAGAATATAGTTTTAAAAAGTTACCAAAGTACGTTTTGACCTGTTTATTTCCAAATGTTGCCGGGGTTATTTGGGGACATTTATTGGCGCAGTTTATGTGTAATCACAGTTAAAGGCTTGTAATTAGACTCTAACATTAACCAGGGTTCAGGCTGCAGCATGAGAGACAGACAGCGGAAATGGAGGATTGTTTGAGCTCAAACACACACGGAACATCAAATATAGCTCCCGTGATCTGATCTGAACCATGACAGCTTCAGAAACTCCTGTCTCCAACCTGAGAGAGGGAGAAATATCACCGTCAGAGTTTCATTCACTCATAAACAGGGCTGGACTCTTTAGCCTGTTAGCGTGGGAGCCACCTAGCTGCGTCGGCCGTTTGACCACAAGGGCGTAACAAATATTAACACCGACGCTATGAGGACACTAGCAGTTAAATATACACAGGTTTCTAGTCACACTTCAGTGACTTGTGTGTGTAGACGACGTGCGAGCTGCGTTGTCTGCTAACTTACTTCCATTTCAGGATGTAAAAAGACACACGACACTCCGACAGCGTTGGCTAACCGCACTAAACAGAAGAAATGCTGCTAAGCTAGCTGGCCAAAGAGTCGGTGAATGTATAACTATAGCGGTGTTATGTTATGACCGAGGTGGGCGTCGCCTGCGAAGGTATAAAATCTGTAAGGAAGTCCAGTACTTACAGTTTGACAACATTTTCAACAACAGCTGCCATCTTGCTTTAAAACACGGGCAAAGTGCCTGCCGGGTAATGAGTGCCCTCTGTCTGGACTTGTAGGCAGATGGAGCAGGGACGTTGATTATAGCGGCTCCTAGTGGCGACAAAATGTCATTACCACTAGAACAAGTATACGGAAAAGGATTAGGGCCACTGAAAAAATAGAAAAAAGTTATGCAAAAAGTTTTAGGTCATTTTTTTCTCAGAATTCTGACTTTGATCTCAGAATTGTGACATTTTTCCTCATAATTCTGACTAAAATCTTAGAATTCTGACTTTTTTCTCAGAATTCTGACTGAATTCTGCAGCTAACAAACACGTTAGCATCAAACTCTAGCCATGTCTGTTTTAGAGACTAAACTAGCTTTCTTGTTTTAATCACCTTCTGCTCTTCCATTAATGAAATAGCATCACCTGGGATCCCTCGGGCACGTAAAAAGTCGACTAATTCTGTCATTTTCCACCAATGTTATACTGGTCCTCCCAAACAACTCAAATCTTTGTCAGTGTAGCTGAGTGCTCCTACGTATCTTCTTTCATGGTGCCCATCTACATTAAGATCCAAAATTCTGAGATTTAAGTCAGAGTTCTGAAAAAAAAGGTCAGAATTCTGAAATTTGAGTCAGAATTCTGGGGGAAAATGCAGAATTATAAGATTTAAGTCAGAATTATGGGATTTAAGTCAGAATTCTGGGAAAAAAGTCAAGATTCTAAGATTGAAGTCAAAGTTCTGAGACTTAAGTCAGAATTCTGGGAAAAAAGTCAGAATCCTGAGAAAAAAGTTACAATTCTGGGATTTAAGTCAGAATTCCCAGATTAAAGTCAGAATTCTGGGATTTAAGTCAGAATTCTGGGGGAAAAATTCAGAATTCTGAGATTTAGGTCAAAATTCTGAGATTAAAGTCGAATTCTGAGATTTGATTCAGAATTCTGAGATCAAAGTCAGAATTTTCTGAGAAAAAAAGTCATAATTCTGATAAAAAAAGTCATAATTCTGATTAAAAAAAAGTCATAATTCTGAAATTTAAGTCATAATTCTGAGGAAAAAGTCATAATTCTGATTTTTTTTTCTGATATTAAACTGAAATAATATTTAATTATTTTTTCAGTGGCCCTATTTCACTTACATAAAAAAAAATGTGTCATTACTAAAACATGTATCTTTAAAAAGCAGGCCTTTTTTGAGGCAATGTTTTTTGTTTTTATTGAAGAAAAACAAACAGATTATACAACAGAGTAAAAATATGCCAGGGGGTATGCTATAGTATAGTGGAAGGCCAAAATGACGTAATTTTATCGCACGGACCTCGCAGACGGTAAAGAAAAAAAGGAGAAGGATCAGGGAAAAGGATAAATGAAAAGAGCAAAATAAAAAGAATATGAAACTGCAAAAAGGATTTGAAAATGCAATGTGAAAAGTAAACTGAATTACCTTTTGAAATTTATGATTAGGTGTTTTGCAAATGTATGCATTGTGTTTTTAGACGTCCATTTAGAAACAGAACTTTTAGAAACAGGACTATTAATTCTATTTAAAATGTACAATAAGCAAACAATTTCCTGGTCCTCCATACAGGGGGGCATGAAACAAGTAGATGTATCATTTCTTTATTTATTCGGTGCATGATTCATCAATTACATGCAAAAAATTTTTTTTCCCCCATTAATTAAAAAGATTAAAAATTAATAAATAATAAAATGTTATTTAAAAAAAAAATATATAAATTTCTTCACTTTATGTACATAAATAATTATAGAACAAAGTCATTCTATGTATTTTTAGTGGTTCTTTTGCATATATATTTTTGGAATCACAGGTACGTGAGGGCATTTATCGTTGCATGCATCTTTTCTCTTTATTGTGATAAGTGTCTAGTTAAGATGAGAATGTTAATTTATCATCTAAAATATAAATAGAATCCATAAAAATAAAAAAAAACACTCCAGAAACAGTTAAATGTCATAATTTTTGTTACCATGTTTGTCCTTTTATTTTTCTTCAGTGAGGCATTGATAAATTTGAAATATATGACTTTGTGATGTTTACCGATATATATCATACTTATGTAACTGGTGTCCTGAATAAGCTTTATTTAAAGTAATATAAATCTTAAAGAGTATTGTTGATGATTCCAGTGCTGTGGTAAGCAGTCATGGCCATTAAGGAATTCGAGAAATACCGAAACAATTTTTTTTTGTTATAATTTTTATCGTTATCACAATTATATCACCCAATACTGTGATACAATTTTAGGTTCAAATCACTCAACCCTAGTCACAGACTGATATGTTTGCAGAAGTAGACAGGAGAACCTACATAATATTGTTGGAAAGATACAAAATCATATATGCCAGGGTGAATCAAAGGTCAGGTCTTTGCAGGAGGGGGAGCCATCCACTGGTCCCAGGATTCCTGCTCCTAGAAATCCTGACTATAAAGGTTCTGAACAGGACCGGTGACAGAGGGCAGCCCTGTTAGATTTCAATGTGCACCAGGAACAGGCACGACCCTGAGGGACCGGTGCCAAAAGGATTGGGCAGCAGACAGAGGGGGGCCTTGGCAACCCGATCAATGGAAGCTTAAACTGGCTCAGGGAAGTCGAGTTATGTAGCTTCTGAAGCCAATTAGATTGGCTACTTTCCTTTCCTCCGACTGAGCACACATTCACTCTGCGTTGTCAAAATGTATTTATGGGTAATACATATTTTGCAAGGAACCAACTAAGCAGGGAGTGCCTTGCCTTTACTGATCAGGGGGGAAAAAATAAGTTTGAAGGCTAATTTATTCTCCTTTTTAGTCCTTAAACATATTGATAAACATTTAAAAAAAGAATGCCAACCACATATTCTTGATTAAACCGTTTTATTATTCCTAATAGTAGATGTAGATACACAATTCAACAAACAGTATTTCTGATTTGTAATGAAAATGCTCCACAGCACACTGACATCGTGTGGAAGGCTCTGGTATTACAGACACATACCTGGGAGGAGGGGAGAAAAATATTGGACAGCAGTCGTAATTTTTGCAATAAGTTGCTTTAGTAACAGTAGTAGTAATAGTAACAACAGTAGCAATAATGATCATAAGAGCATTTAATATAAGTAGTGGTATTAACAACTCTGAATTACAGAGGAAGGAACAGACGTTGGTGGGAAGAAAAGTTTATCAAACGCTGCAAGACAGACCACTGGATGAAAAAATACAAGCTCCCATTAGACAGCAAATATTCAGCATTCTTCTACAAGAGGAAGCTCTAACTGTCAGCAGTCTATATTCAACCACATCTAATACCTAACACTTAAGAGGTTTTTCTTCTTCATCGGCACCAGTACTCTTAGATGGAAAAACCTGCATGACATCAATGATGCAAGCTTTTCATGTTCTGGTCAAACCTCAACAGAAGCGAAAGATTGTTTTTTTTTTTTTTAGAAAAGATGCCCTATGAACATAATCATAGCCAGTGGAGGACATTCCCACAAAACTGGAGGAAGAAGGTCGTATGAATGTGAGATTAAGAGCATGTCTACAATATGCCAAGAGTGAGTTATGCTTCACGTGACCAATTTGGCCAATTTCATTCACATTCCAATGAGCTGCATAAAAAATAAACAGAAAAACACTGCAACCTTATAGCTGGGATGTAGCAGCAGCAGTAGGATGCAGTGTAGATGTTCAGAGAAACGGTAGCGAAAGGAGCTAAACTCCAATGAAAGAGAACAATAACTTTGTTTGAATCTGTGCCGAATCTGTTGGCTCACGTAATGCATGTTTATGTGGTTCTGATTGTAGTTTAATTTGAACTGAAACTAGAATACCAGGTCCTACTGTAGAAACTGGTGCATAAAAACAAAACAAAAAAACTGTGAGCTTTTAACTAAATTCTCCTAAAGAGGATAATTAATCCTGTTTGGGTACAGAAAATAAGGCCATTTAATTTAAAGGAGATAATCTGCCTTCATGTTTCTATTCCTCTCCTTACTTCCATTCAATGCTCATAAAACCATTTCACATCCATTATTTTAATAACGACTGAGATAAATCAACACAAAAAATGCATAAAGCTTTAAATTAGTTGTATATTTTAGAAAATTTAATTTAACCTATTTGCCGTCAGCTCTTGTGAAACTTGTTGGATTATCTATGTTCACACTAAAAACACAAGAGAGTCATGTGATGTATAAAGTTTAAGAAATCACTTCAAATCATTAGTGGTCAAATCAAGTACAGAATGACATGTGGTCGTTTTGAAACTTCCCACTGAAAAGCGCTCTCCTTTCCTACCTTAAATAGTACGAAATATCTAATACTAGAAGGAAAACAAAAGACCAACGCTGATGTAAGGCTGATTTGTGTGATCAGGCATGAGGGCGATTAGCAATCCTAACAATTATCAAAGTGTTTAAAAGCTCCAAAACTGCTAAAAACATCCCGTCATAATGTTTAATTATTTCCAAATGAAAAGTCAAAGTAAGGAATGGAGAGAGAAACCGTAACTACCAACCCATGCATAGTTATGAGATCTACATGGGTACTTCGACAATTCAAGCCACCTAATACCAGCTTGGAAAGGTGTGAAAAAGCACAAACTGCTTCTACAGTTTTTCCACTTGTTTTCGGGTAGAATTAGGTGCAGGTATGAACTGTTTACATTCACAGCACCCTGTTAAAGGCCCTTTTCATTTTAAACATGAACACAATCTGAGGAAACTCGAGATGCTTCCTTTGATTCTAACTGCCAATAAGTTAACCAATAACTTATAGATTATGTCCGATCCTGATTAAACTGTGATCTGATATTTCCAAAGATTAACTAACATGTAAAGCAAATGAAAACTATTGGACACGTAACATTGTCATGCCACATATGCAGGAAAAAGAAGCTGTCGTAACTGGCTGCTGGTTTTTCTATCTAGTAATAATTCAGACATACATTAGGTCATTGCCACAGGGCACATGTTTAACATTCAAATCTTTGTACTAAGAAAACCTTTTTAATTGAAGCGTAAATGTAGTGTTCGAGTAAAGGTTGGGTTGATGTTGAATTATAGGAGAGCACCTGAAGCGCCCTTGTCTCACCCTCCACTCCTCTCACGTGGAGTGAAAGACGGAAGCTGTCCTTCACTCCTCCTCTGCAATACAAAAAAATGTGCTTCAGCTTCTTATCTACAAACTGCCCCCGATGCTGGTCGATTCAACGGAAATACGTAAGGGGGCGGAAAACACAGGGGAAAAAATGTCTTTGAGGAATGCCGTTGGTTCCGTCTTCTTATGAATACTTGAAAAATAAAAATAAAAAACGCCTGTCTTGTTTCTGAAAAGCAACATCCATCTGACCGTGTTTTACCAGGAACAAATAAACATGCAAAATCCACAGCACCACAACTCACACACACGCTCACACTAGAAAACCAATTCTCTCTGCTTTGTGAAGGAAAAGAAAAGATAAAGTTAAAAATCAAGCAGAAAAGATCACTCCAAACAAAAAATACGGGCATAACTGGAGATGAACCAAATAGATACAATTTCCCCCCGAAAGGTACCTGTGATCATTTACTGCACATGACTAAAACTTGAGCTTTATTCTTGTTGCAAAACATCTCATAAAGGTTCCTTTCTAAAGAGAAAAAAATAAAAATACAAGGGCAAGACCAACATTCTCCACTAGTTGAACCAAATTCGTTTCTCTCCACAACATAAATCAAGATAATTAGCTAATTAATTTTATTCTCAAACCATAAATTGCAAAAAGATAAATATTAATAATATTAATAATATTGATCAAGTTAATAACATCAATACCAGAAACATAAACAATCATATCTCTCGCAATAGAGAATATTTGACAGGAGTGGGAACACCTCCATCACAGTTATCCTCCTTGCTGAGGACGAGCCGTTTCAGGGTCCGACTGGTTCCCTCCAGCAGTCGTTACCGACTCTGGCTAATGAGCTCGTCTGACGCTAGTTGGAGCGCTAGATTCGGATGGTAGGTATGAATCAAAAGAACTGAAAGTAAACGGATTAAAAACAGCTAGGGAGAAAAACGGAAGAAGAAAATCGAAAGGATTTAAGTTGTTGAAGTCCCAAGTGACAGATCCATCAGTGATTCCTGGGGGCCTGCATTGGGAGCGGTGTGTCTGTATGACCTGTGTGTGCCTCTCCGTCTACCTGCCTCAGTCTGTTGGATTCTCAGCTTTACGACGCTTCCATTTACAAATGTTCTATTTCTTCTTGCCAAAGAAGCTGAATCTCTTCTCGCGATCCTTCTCTTTGCCCTCTTTGTTGCGCATTGTGACGCCCTCTCCTGAGCTCGGGGAGATGGGGGGCATGGTCATGGCACGGCTGAGTCGCGGAGCTCCCGGCGAGTCACTGGATCCGGTAGGGATGGAGCTGACGATGGACTGAATCCAGGAACTCATTTCCGCCTAAGAACAAACCCTTTTATGAGAATTCATTTGTTTTACAGCAGGTGCAGCTTTTTAAAGACGACTCTTTAAATCTCACCTCATCCTTGGCTTGGAATAGATACTCCTTCCCATCTGCTAGCCTACAGAAAGAGAGAGGAAAAAAAAAAAAACTCTAAAAATGTTCACTCCATGTCATTTATTGACACCAACAGGTGGTCTGAATAATTAGATAATTTTATCCTCACCTGAGCTTGAATACATGTTTCCTCTTTTTATAATCGTGGGCTATTTCACACACAGACCCGTCCAGCCGAATTGGAACCTCTCCGTGATACGGGATACCATTGGCTGCACTCTTGTTGTCTTTATAGAAACCAAGATTTCCCTTCCTAAGAACACAGTATACGTTCTGCCACGACCTGTCAGAGCAAATGGGTACGATTAGTACGATCCAACCATCGACATAAAATAGTAATAACAGGAGAATATTTTGCTTTATATGAATATGTATAATATATTAAATTAAATAATATAATAATGAAATAATAATACAATAATGAAATAGTAATATATTAAATGAAAGAGCAAATGGAAAAAAGGAGCATATGGCAGGAGAGATTATAGATTTAAAAAAGAAAAAAAGGTTTTCGATTCCAAAGTTCACAAAAACTCAAAGCAGCAAAAGCTGTAAAGAATGAGGGAATTTAAAAAGTAACTAAAAAACATCTTAAAATGTTTGTTTGTTCCCAGGAGGCTCTGTACTGGGGCTAAAGTACCCCAGCTTTCTTCTGACATCAGTGCTCCACCAATACAGTTTTAGAATATATATTTGGGTCTGCACATGGAGACATTGCAAATAAACAGCCAAATATAAAGGTAAACATTAAATCAAACAATTTGTCTGGAATCAGACCAAGAAAATATATCTGAGGGGTCAAAATGAAAAAGAAATGTATTTCTTATTTATTTAATATATTTATTTATTTAATAATACCTGATAAAACAATTAAAAGTACCATTAGATAATATAATGTAAAATTCAATAACTAAGTTTCCCATTTGATCAGTAAATAGAGACTTGCAGACTTTCTAAGGTGCTTTGATTTGTTCTCCTTTCTGCCCATAAGTAGATTCAAGGAGATACTTAAAAAATTCAAATGAAAAGTTTTTTTATGGCAAAGCATGTAAGGGTGCAAGGGTGTGATCAGAAGAGGAAGTGGGGCTGACCTGAACATGAGATCAACTTTAACTCTATTTCATTAGACCCTTACCTAGTAGCTGCCTTTTTGTTGTGAGACTCCATCTCCTGTTTGCGGCAGAGGATGCCCTCCATGTTTTCCGGCTCCGAGTCGGCGCCCCCTCTGCTCGGTAACGTGGCAGACGGCTCAAGACGAGAGGACGCCAGGCCGCTGTCTCTGCCTGGTCCATTAACCGAGTCAGACTCTGAGCCCTGTAGTTAAAACCAGACCATGGTGGTGAGACGGAAGGAAATCTGAGAAATGGATGAAGGCGGCAGGAAAGCAGCCGATCGCAGCCCACCATGAAAAGCCATTATGATGTTGGAACGTCTGATGAACACAGTGCAGGATAAACTGATACTAAGCATAATGGGAGTCACTGGATTCATTTAATCACGCCGTACTGACAACAGATTACATTGAAAATCTCAGACAAACTTTAGTACTTTGGGCTGCTCCCAAAGAAAACACTGAACAGCTAAAGAGACACAAACAGATATCAATTTAAAAAATACCTCTTTAATTTAACCAGAGATAAAATCCCTAGTAATTCTACAGTTTCCATCTGCCAACCAAAAAATAAAAATCAGAGGAAAAAAGAGAGCTGCACTAAAAGTCAGCTGGTGATTTCTTAGAGCATCCAAAGTGGGGTGATTTCAGTTTGGTCAGAACGCCTCAAGAACCCAAATGGCACATTAACCAAAATCTAACCTCGCTCAGCGAGGTCTGCTGTGGGCACACTGTGATGCTACGCTCTGTCTGTGGTTCATTTAGGCTGCAGTGAGGAACTGAGAGAGAGCAGGAGAACAGGGAGGCTGAATTTATTTTATACCTGTAAAAACTTTCAACATGAGCTTGTCACAGAACACCTGAACCTGTAGATGATGCCAGTCAGTGGTAAATCTAGCTAGGACTGATGTTTACATTCACTCCTTTTACATGCATCTCTCCTCCAAAACATTCAATTCCCTCAAAGGGTCACTCCGCTCTGCAAAGGCCTTGTATCAAGACATGTTATTAAATCAGGTGTGCTGCTAGTAGCTCTCCAGGACTGACTTGGGCACGGCTGCTTTAGAACACACACATGGAGGCTGCTGTTTTATTAGAGAAAGCTATGCTGATTGACAAAATTACTCCGAAGACGGAATAAAATGTCATCAAATAATCAATTAAAGTGAAATCCCATTTTCAAGTTGCCTCTCTTATAAATATTTATTTCTGATCCCTTACCGTAAAATATTCCTAATTTTCTCATAAGTTCTTAGAATATTTGTTAATTGGATAAAATTGACACGCTAGAAATCACTAGAAAACTTCTAGTGAAATCACTAGTAAAATCTTGGCTGAACATATTCTAAAGCCTGAAGTTTAAGGAAAACTTTTTTATTTGGATGTTATTGACATAATCCACCTAAAATGGAACCTCATGTAAAATATTCAACCTTAACAATAGCAACAGAGGCTTGATTATTTGTGTTTTTGTTACTTTAATATATCTACTCACCACTCTAATCTACAATTTACTTAAAATAACACAAACACACATTTAAAAGGAAAACAAACAGAGACTACAGCACCCCACAGAACAATAGCACCACATAGCTGTAACGTCACATTTATGCTGCCCTACATTTAAAGCCACTCCGGTCCTGGTCCGTGAAGCACATACACAGCAGCAGCAGCAGCAAACTGGAACGTACTTGATCCATGAAAACAATTCGTTCATGAATGTGCATCATGCTTTGTTTGCAGCGATGGGACTCATTAATGAAGCTGTGTGGTTCATTAATAAATAAAGCAGTGGATGCAGAGAAGCAGTGGCTTCTCAACAGAAGGAGGTCCTGCTGCTGACCAGGAGCTGAGCGGAGGCTGTCAAAAGGGTGGGGAGGGGGGTCTACAAAGCTGACCATGGATCATTACTCACACGCTCCTGCTGTTTGGGCTTACACACACGTTTAGGCTCTGATTTCTTTCCCACTGACAACGGCAGCGATAACGACTGCTGGTAGGAATGCAATGAGAAAACATTAAAGATTCTGTCACCTGCAGATGCTTCAGTGTCAAATCAGGGTTTTTACTTTTTAGTTAAGCAAAGACACCAAAATACCCTGTCAACAGCTGCCATCACGTTTAAAGGACACACCTGGGGCAATTTTAGATAAAATGTACCGAGAAGGTTCTACATTCATAGAATTATTCTGTTATATGTCCCACAGCCCTCTAACTGATTTATTAGAAATATGAACAGTTACTCCAACATTGCCTAAATAGAAATAACTCAGATATGTGTTGTTTTACATTTTACATACATCTTCCTCCAGTAAGGTGTATAAAAAGGAAAGATACAGAGCCTTGCAAAAGTTTTCATACGCCTTGGATATTTTCTTTTACATTATGAAGTTTTAAAACCAACCAACCAAACTATTTTACTGCGAATGTTTTCCGTATGATGGCCAACAACAAGCCAGGAAACTTCAACTGAAAGTAAATATAAAGAAATCACATCGATCCAATAGGAAGCTGATCAATCACAGCATCCAGATTTTTAAAATACTTCACTAAACATGCTAGATTTACCTGAACATGTTGCGATATTAATAAATGTACAAGTATGCTTGTATATCAGCTTAGTTTATCTTAACATTAACAGTGACAAAATAAGCAGCAAAAACTCAGCATACTCAACCATTGTAGAATATAAACTACTAAAAATATCTGGATAACACATCAAAAGCAGGGCTAAAACAATCAGATATATTCTGATTGATCAGTCATTTAAAGTATCCTTAACTAAGATAGAATTCAATTAATTGATAATAACATATGACGTTATCTGAAAGATCGAGCCACTCAAAATACCAATTATGTAAAAACAAATATACATGCCTGTTGAGGAGTTCTATGCAGAACTTTAACTTCTGAATAAAATCCTCTTTAAGGTACATTTAGCTATCTGATTATTAATTGATCGAGTTAATGATTAGCAAAATTATGTTTAGTTGGAGCCCTAAGCAGTTCTAACACTTTAAAATCCTCAAAAGTTGTTTTAATCTCACTTCCCTTTTTATCATCAATATTTATTTTGATGCTCCTCTGGGCGTCACACCACAGCGGAGCAAACACAGTAGTTAGGGGTCGAGAATTCTGTATAACTGAACTGAAAGGAAATGATTTGTGGTTTTCAGGTAAAACCAAAAAAAAAAATTTAATTTGTGGTGAGCTGCCGTACTCGGCCTCCCATTGCTTTGCTATAATTATAGCTGCAGATCTCCTGATTGAAACTTTTACTTATTCTTCGTACATGTTTCATGTTGAGTCTATCACCTAAACATAAAAAAAAAGCTCTGAAGTCAAAGATTCGACTGTGAGAAAACTTGTTAAGTTCAAGGGGTGGGAATACTTTTGCAATGTGCTGTTTTTTGTTAAATCAATAATTGGTTCAACTTTAAGTCAAAATCCCTTATAAGGATGAGATACAAATCTCTGCTATATGACAACAATGATGAAAAAATGACAAACACATTTTTATATGAAAGGATTTTAAGCAAAGTTTTAGAAGAAAGTTGAATAATTTTGGAGATAATTTCTTTAAAATTTGCGATGATTGTGCAAAAATAAATTTCGTAAGTACAAAATGTAATGAAGCCGACAGCGTGAAAAACATGACGTTGTTTTAGAAGGAAAACCAGCCTCACCTGGGATGTGTCATTATCGCTGTGAACTCCATTTACTGACACCGACTGATTGAGCGTCGTCTGGTCCAGACTTGTTCTGTGTTTAAAAGAGATGAATGCTGTGTGAACAGAAGAAGGGGTTTGGTTTTGTCATCTGCAAACATCCTCGTGGGTTCACCTGGCAGCAGAATCGTGCGGTTGAGTCTCCGCTTCAGACGGCGCCACCTCTTCTACAGGTGGAGCGGGTGGGGGTTGCCGGGCTCGCTCCTCTTCCTCTCGCCTCCTCTGCATCTCCTCCTTTTCAAGCTAAAGACGAGAGAAATTAACGTTTTATTGGCTCTTATAGAAGAGGTTTAACACATCATGGCTCTGTCACGCCTCTTCCAAAACATTACTAAACATTTCTAGGGAGGAAACTCCTGACTTCATTTGACTCAACTTCAAGTCTGTAACTATTAATCGTGATTGATCTATTAATAAACTTAACTTGAGTAACTTGAGTATAGCAACTCTAAATGATGCCTTTAGATGACAGAGCGACCCACTTAGACCAGTAATTATACCAAAATAAAAAAAAAATACATATTTTTAATTAAAGATAACAAAACACTTTTATGTGTTAATATGCTGTATCCAGAACTCCAAGTGGAAAACTTTTAGTTTCACCTGGTTTACATTCTGTAAAAATCTTTTTTAAGGAACATTTTCCTATCAGATTATTAATCTCCATAATTAGCAAGATCTTTGGACATTTCTGGAAAAATATAGAATTCACTATTTCTTAACTGTCTCTGTTCCCTGACTTCAGAGTGAAGAATTTTCCATAATTAGCAAGATCTTAAGAAATAGTGAATTCTATATTTTTCCAGAAATGTCCTAACTGTCTCTGTTCCCTGAATTCAGAGTAAAGGAGATTCTTTCACCTATGCTTTTTATTGGCCCTTATCAACTTTTGAACAGATTATCAACTGTTCAGACTTTCAAAAAGCCTTGCATTGTCAGGCTACCATATTTCTGATTCGTTTCTCCCTAAACCTCAACCTTCAGGCCTCAGGTTTCAAACTGTTGCTCCAAAAAAATTGGGAATAACCTTCCTATGTCTATTTTTGTGGCTGAATCTGTTGATTCTTTCTAAAAGCAATCATTACATTTCCGTTTGCTTAAGGTATCGATTAACTTGGCTTTGATAGCAGTTTACTATTTTTGTTTTATCCTGTTTGGACAGTTTTGAAGTCTTTGGGAAACAGGTTGCTAGGCAAACTTTCTTCTTCTTCTTACGGTAGTGAGCTTCTCGAGCTGCACGAAGCGTTCCTCCCAAGCTGCAGCAAGTTTCTCGAAGGCTTCATGGCGCTTAATCAAGCTCTCAACCTCGTCGACATTAGCCCCCAGCTCTGCTGCTCGGACAAGAGGCTCCTGCCCCGCCAGCCACGACTCTGCCACGTTGGCATCTCGTCCAAACTGCAGCACCTCCAACACTACAGAGCAACGGGAACAAACACTAATGATTCATGCAATAGGATAAGTGTGACTGTGTGTTTGATCAGAGATCTCAGATCTTCTAGATGGGCCAACTCTCTGAAGTAAGATGTAAATGATGGGTTAGAAAAACTACGAAAAAACAAAAAAAAAAACAGCAATTTAAAGAAAGCCACTGCCTCTACCACAGATATACATTCAGAACCGAGGGTGCTGTGAAATAATTTTTTTGTTTTGGACAAAAGACCTATGAGCCTATATGCCCATTTAAACACAATAAATAAAAATAAATAAATAGATTGAGATTCACTGCTTTACTGTCATATACACTTCAGTGCATGCAACCAGGGTCTGTAACACACAGACATCATTAATCAGCAATCACTGGTGGTGGTTTTCCTAAAATCAGAAAATGCATTTCCGTCAGATTATATAAATTTACTAGTCTGCTGGCCGTGAGCGGGAAAACTCGGCAACCACCAGCTTGCTCGACGTTGCCATGACAACGTAACTTCTGTGAACTTGTGTTGATTAAGCCTCAAAATAATTAAATTAAAATCCAACTACATGTAATAGTAAAATAAAATAGTCCAAATATTAATAAGAAATGTATAAATTGTGCAAAGTATTTTTTTAATAAATGTTTTAAAAACTCTCCTTCTTGCCACTAGGGGGTGCTGGAGCACCCCCCACTTCCCCCGGCAATGTATACGTTTACATGTATTCACTCAAAGCTGTAGTAGAAGTAAAGCTACTCCATTTGAATTGAGTGGCTTTTTAATAACTTCCCTGATTTTCTTTTAAATGTATTAAATACAGAAAATCCTTTTTTTTCCAGAGGATATGAATCAATGCATGTTGCTCTTTCCATATTATGCACCTTCCTGTATGCAAACATACTTTTATAAACCTGTACCAACACGCTCTACTGTTGTAACATGATTATTAGATTGTGAGGGGATTACGTTATCACGACTATTAACAGCAAAATGACATCATGTATTCCATATACCAATAAACAAATATGTATGTGAAATCTCTCTGCATACCAATTTGTAAATGATCCATCTTGTCCTCCCATTCTTTGTTGATCTTGTCTCTCTTTTCCTGGAGCTGAGTCATTTTTTCTCGTATCTGTAATAAAAAAAACAAAGGTTGGGTAAATCACTGAACAATACAGTGTTTCTCGTTAAAATCATGACTAAGAATGTTTGTTTTTCTAACCTTTTTAAACCTTTTAGACTTCCTCTGCTAAAGCATACAATAAAAGTCAGCAGCAGACTCTTTACTAGTCCAAATCATTATGACTGACTTTGATTGGATGTTTCTATTGCTAGATTGCTTGTGTGGCATGTTCAGATCTGAGATCAAAATGTTACGATCAACATCTTTTAGCAGTTTAGGTTTTATAAGCAGGAACTTTTTACTATTAATCTCCAGCCTGATCATGCAGGTGCAGCAGCAGGTAGAAGCACCTTGCAGTCACATAGTCTAAAGCTAAATAGAAAAAGTGCAGCCTCTAAATTTTCCCTTTTGGAACAGTCCTTATGATAACTTCATCTACGCCTGTGTAACAAGATGAGCTGGGATACAGAGCTGATAATCTGTGTACGATTTATAAAACACCTGCGTTGTTCTATCTAGGGAAACACTACACTATATATAGCTTGCTTAGTTCTCAATAGTTTTACTTGAAGCATTTCACACTACCTCATCAGATGCATAGTGGTTATTGTTGATGAGAGCATTTCCCATGTCAGTGCAGGCAGTAAAGCTGTCTGCTCTGGTCTCAATCTCTGATTTGATGTCCTGATGATTGGCTATGACCAATTCAGCAGATGATACATCCCTTAAAAAAGCAGACAAGTAAAATTTAGGATCATCATACATGCTGCTCTGCCTTAGCTTCCTTTATGACGTACACTGAAAAATGTAGCTTGTACCTGGGGCTTTCGTGTGCATCGATCTGCACGTGGATCCCGTCCATCCAAAGCATCAGGTCCCTCACTATGTTGAAGAAGCGGAACTTCTCCACAGTGTCCAGCAGGAGGAGCTTGCGGGCCTTACATGCCTCCAGCAGCCCCTGCCAGGCTGACGTCACTGCCGTTTCACTCCTGTGAATGTCATCTGCCTTTTCACCCGCGTAGGCCTTCTGCAGACGTGCTGCATCGTCCTGCACCTGGTTCACCTTAGAGTTAGAGAGGAAAGAGAAAACTCTTTTTGTAAAACTCTGCAGCCGCCTTTCATATCAACACGGTATGTGATAACCTACTAGTCCGCTGAGGGCTTGGACATCATTTTCAAAGTTGTTGTGCTGTCTATGTAGATGCTGGACCGTGTTCAGATCACGACCAAGGTCTGAAGGCACAGCTTCCTTCTTCTCTTTAATCCGTCCGAGAACCTCCATAGCATCTTGGTGAAATCTGTGCAGCTCATAGGAGGCTGCTAACATTTGTGTACGCGTATCAATAAGTTCCAGCAGGTCCGCCCAGGCCTCATTTAAACCGTCCTTCCATTCTGCCACAGTGGCATTCTCGGGGTGGCCGGACTCGATGAGGTCATCTGCTAACGCATTGACGCCATCTACGCGCTCCTGGCCAATGGTACTGGTGTCACGAGCAAACTCCCGAAACTTGTCCCTCAGCATCTGTCATAAGGAAGAACAAAAAAAAAAAAAAAAAGGGAGTCAGGACAAAAGGAAGTGAGTTGATTACCGTAATTTGGTTTTCACATCTTCAAAGAACAGTGATGAAAAAAGAAACTCACTGTGACGTGTTCATAGTCCTGTCCCAGTTCATGGGAGCCAGCAACCACCTCCCTCTCAGCAATCCATTGCTCTATGTCATCAACCTCCCGCTTCAGCTGGGTCAGCCTCAACCTTTCCTGAAGACGCCCACGCCGCTCCTCTGCGAGGTCTTTTAGTCCTGCATACAGCTTGTCTACTTGTGCTTGTCTCAAGTTGATTCGTTCGCTGTTCAGTTGAGAATAACCAGATGTTTTAGCAATTAAAAGACATACTTCAAAAAGAAAAAAAAAAAACAACCAGTTGCTTTCCGACCTTTCTGGGTGCTCGCTGGTGACCATGAGACGGCTGCTGTTGGCCAGCTGGTGAATGGTCTGGGCGTAGTCCTCCAGGGCCTGTTCTAGGATCTGGTGTTTCTTTACCATTGCTAGGGCGCTTTGTTCATCCTGCATAACAAATAAAAAGTTGCCACATTTTCTAATAAAAAAAAAAAAAACTTCAAAACAAGCTCCATAAAGATCTGTCCATCTTTGAGTAAAATTACCTTTGCCTTTTCTTCTGACATCATGTGCAGTTCCTGCTCACCCATCCAGGCTTCTGCTTCGGCTGCGTCGGCGTAGAACTGCTGGGCGCGGTTGGCCTCCATCAGGCGATCGTGGCGCTTGTCCGTCTCTCCGATCAGCTGGTCCCAGAGATCCTTCAGCTCAACCAGGCGGTCCTTTAACACAGACTGCCTTTCGCCGTCTACCTGACTCTGAGCCTCGCCTCGTCGGTGGATGTCATCAATGCGAGGCTGGTGACCCTGGATCTCCTTCTGCAAGGTCTGATTCACAACCAGAAAAGACATTATTTCCACTGGTAAGATAGCAGCTTCTAAAATTGATGAGAATCCTAAGGACACTAGAACTTTTGCATTTTAAATTGCTTTCTTTTCCAGACTAAGTTTTCTAAAATTTTCCAGCAGATTTCTTAATATTCTGAACACCTTTTTTTTATGCCCGGATCATCTCAGATTCCAGGTCTCTGGATTAATCAAATACAAGATCTTTAATCTCCTCAAAAGTAAATTTAAAAAGAACCAATCAGGGACGGTTTTCTTGCTTTTCGACATCAGACTGTTTAATAAATAGGAAGAACATTTAAAACCCCTGATCTCAGATGTTCAGAAAAGGCTGTTAACAAAAGAAGATATATCTGTGGAATAAACAGATAAAAAATAATAATTGGTTTTATCTTAGAAAAATCAGCTTTTTACCCATATCTTACTAAAAAAAAAAAAAAAAAATCAATTAATTCCAACAGTTCTTAATTAGAGTTGGAGCTATACAGCATTTTGAGAGCAGATTCCAATACAGATTATTTTGACATCAATCTAACTGATCCCAGATATGTGCTGCTGATGCTTTTAGGCCAATTTTTAAGGCCAATGTTGCTTTTCTTCCTTAAATTACATAACTAATTAATGTTACACAAGTCTAAATTTGAAGAAAAAATAAACCTTTATCAATACATCAAAACATTAACAATGGACAGCAAATAGAAGGAGCAGCAATGTCTGTAAGGCATGGCTGCTGTCAGCCCAAAATATTGGCTGTTTGTTTCAGTCTATCTCTAATCTTCTAACTCATTTATTTTCAATCTTTTTACAAGTAAAGAAAATATTTAAGCCATTTGTATCACAAAACAGTCAGAAAAGAAAATGTCTAGTTGAATCCTTGAAGAGGAAAAGAAAACAGTACCTGGTTCTTTTTGATGAGCAGCTGTACGGTGGGCAGGTCTTTCCCGTGGTCTGTAGAAGTCGCCAGAGGCATCCTCTCTTTGATCCAAAGCTGCAAATGGGAATCAAAATAAAACCTCGGCAGCAGATAAAGCTCAACATAGAAGTTTAAAAACATGCATCTATTGACTCTGTTTGCTAGTGCTCACAATCTCATCTTCCAGGTCTCTGTTGAACTGATGTGCTTCTTTGGAGGCCAGAAGTTGCTGTCTCCTCAGGTTAAGGGGGTCATGCAGGCTTGAAAAGGTGTCGATGACGCGCTTCTGCTGCCCATCTACCTCAGCCATCCCAGCGTCCTCCTGAGACAGAGCAACAGCCTGAGTCTGTAGAGACTGAACCTCCTTCTCTCTGACCTCCATCTGGTGCTCCAGCATCTGCAGAGACAAAAAACAATGAACTTTTACTATGACCACACGGTCATCAAGGCAGGAAAACTATTTTCCTCCCCACTTCTTCCTGCTTTCTTTTCACATGATTGTGAAATTGAAACATGTTTTTATTTGATTTCTACCTGATGCTTTTTGAGGAGGATATTGACACTGGTCAAATCTTTTCCGTAGTCATCGCTATGCAGCTGACTCTCGATGTTTTTCAGCCAATCATCCAGAGCGGAGCAACTCTGTGTAAATATCTCTGCTCTGTGAGCTTCAAACAAGCACTGGTCCTTGGTGCGGGTGGTGCTCTCCAGCTCCTCCCACTGACGCTGCAGGTCCTCTAAAGTCTGCTGGACAACAGGTTTCAGCTCCGGCTTCTCTGCCACCAGCGCTTGACCCTCCTTTTAGGACGATATGTGTTGACAATGAGAGCTGGTAAAATAACAATTTGATTCAATATATATTTCCACCCACCTTATCAATCTTATCCAGCCAGTCTTTGTTGGAGGCCAGCTCAGCCATGAAGGCCTGGTGTTTCTGCCATTTGCTGTGGAGGTTTCTAGCTTCATCGTATGACATGTCCTGTGCTGTTAGCATCTTCTCATTGATCCACAGTGTCAGCTACAGAGAGAAAAAGCATTGAAAAAGGAAAAACATCACCATCAAACTTAAGAATCCTCTCCAAACTCCCTCTGTGAATTCATTCATTAAAGTACTAAACATCGTACCTCTTGTCCATCCTGAAGGAAGCGCTGAAGCTCACAGTTGTCCTTAAGCTTTGAGAGAAGCTCATTTGCAGCCTGTTTGTTTTTAAGATGCCTGGAGAAGAAAAAAGGAGGAAGCTGAACTTTTGAACTGTGTGCTCTAAACTTTCCTTTAGAAAAAATCTAAAATTTTCTCTTATCTTTCAGTTCAGCTCTGACCTTTCCTGGATTGAATCCACTTTTTCTTGAATCTTATCTGCATTTGCATTGGAGTCATTAATGAGGCGCTGACCAGCCTCCACCACACCGGTTATCTTCTCCTCACTGGCCTCTGTGGTGGTAAGGAAATCCTCGTGCTTCTTAATGGCCTCTTCTGCAGCCTGGAAGTTGGTGGGCATCTCTGTGTGGGAAAGCACGTACTCCTACACAAACACAGAAGCAGGAGGTTCATTTAATTTTCCCCCAAAAACACATTTCTTTGAACGGCTATTAAAAATATATCCTCTTCCATACTTTTACCTAACAAAGGGTTGAAAGTTTTACCTCTAACTACCGTTATCTTAAGTACATTTTTCATTATTCCAACAATTTAACTTACATTTGATGATTGTAACAATAATAACAATGCATTATATGGCAATCTTTTTATTGGATATGATGTTAGGAACTAAACAATACCTTTGTATTCAGCTTCCTTCGCTATAAAACCCTCAATAAAATACAAAAATAGCAACAGCCAGTGTTGTAGGGAAGCAAATATGTAAAATTTAAAAAAAATGTCTGGTTTGTGGTGGATAGCAGTACCCTGCTCAGATAAGAACATTAAACATTTTGGTGCATGTGTGGAATAAAACTAAACCTTATGTTTAGGAGGGACATGGAAGTCGGTGAGGCTGGAGGTAGACAGAACAACCCCTAGATGAAAACCAGGAGAAGCTGCAAAAGACTTGCAGGGGACTGCAGGGAAGGTCCAAATTTAAGCAGGACAATGACCCTAAACATGAATCACTCCGACTTTACTCAGCTTCAGCTACTTTTTCCTTATTATTTGACTTTGAACTCTAATTAGAGTGGTGCAATTTGATGAACGGGACTTCAGGAGCATCACAGGAGTTAAGAAATATCTTTTCATGTTTTTTTTGTTTTTTTCTTCCCCACTTCCGATCTGATTCCGATTTTCAATTTGGATATCTGCAGTTGATTTTTTAGGCGCAAATTATAAACTCATCTCTACAAGTATGATGTGTCTGTAAACATAAAGAGATTAAAGGAAGTCATAAAAACAGTATATCGTGGTAACGGGACATCCTGAAAACAAGAATGCCGCTGTAAAGGTGCATTCCCACCGCGTTCAGTGTGAATTCATCTTTAGGGTCAAAACTGAGTGTATTAATAAGAGGTTAAACGTTTTCTGCTGATCAAGAGATTTTTTAAAACCGACTAAGTTTTTAGGGAAGTAGAGTGAATAGATTTGCCCATATAAATCTGGCTCATTTTCACAAATAACAGATCCAGAGTTTTTCTTTTAAATATTGGGACACATACAGATTTTTTTTTTTTTAGGTAAACTTTTAAATATAATTTTGTCCTTTTCCTTCACGTGATAAGGGTCTCTCTTACTATTCAAAATCCAAAATAGATGGAAGAATTGATCCACTCCTTTTTTAAAGTATTACTGCAGACTGAGATGAATGGACCAGAAATCTCAGCTAACTGTCCAAAGGTTCATGCATTTGGTGTGTTTCTCTAACCTGGCTGTTAAGGAAAGCTTCCGCTTGTTTGGCATCTCTGAGAAAAGTCTGGAAATCGAAGGCCTGAGCCAAAAGACTGTGGCGGTTCTCCCACATGCATCGCAGCTCATGCCAGCCAGTGTCCAACGCCTGGAGCCTCTGGGCCAAGAACATGTGCTGGGCATCCGTCTGACCCTGTGTCACTTCCTCACCAACTGCCCGCATCTTTTCGTAATCCTCCTTGTAGTTGTCAACTTCATTCTTGATGCTCTCGTGTTGGGCGAGCAGACTCTCTGCCTCTGGCAGGGAGGTCGGGATGTCTTCGGAGGCCACTGCGGTCTGCGTGCGCGACAGCCATGACTGGAAGTCATCCAAATCCCTGAGGAAACCCTGAAGTTTGCTGGCTTCTCCCAGTGACTCCTCTCGTCGCTTCATTGTGTCATTCAATTCGTCCCACACCTCCTGAATCTCAGCTAAGCGTCCTTGGATTTCTCCTGCTTGATCTGGATGCTCACTGGCTAGCTTTTCAGCCTCCTTTGTCAAATCATCCAATTTACCCTGAAAAGAGAGGAAACCCATTTAGATGAAGAAACCAGCTCTTTATACGTCACCTTTTATTTTTCTGCAGCCTGTTCATACTTGAATGGCCTCCAGGTCCCTCTCCATGCCAGTCAGCTTGCGCTGAAGTGCCATCACTCCAGCCAGGTCGTTGCCCAAGCCCTGTGTGGATTCAATCACTTTGGTCTTTTCTTTCATCCACGTCTGGATCTCGTTACACTCCAGGTGGTAGTTCTGGATGTTAAGAGCAGATTCCAGGGCCTGTTTCTTTTGGCCAGCCAGTTGCTCAAACTCTTTCCATCTAGTCAAAATCGAGCACAAGGCATACTGAGTCCAAACAAAGCCAAGCTTAAAGGAGTGAGATGAAATGCATGCTAGATTGAAGCTCTGACCTGTCGTTTAGCTGGTCTCTTGTCTGGTGGATTTGGTCTTTGTTACAGCTGTCTGAGCTCAGCAGCTGCTCTGCCACCTGATTCACATCAGTGACCCGAGATCCCAGGTTGTTCATCTCCGGTTCCAGCGTGTCAAACCTGCATTGGTGTATGATGTATAGCTTTAAGTTACCCATTTAAAAATAAAAAAGCCTAATTTAACAATCCCCTCAAAGTGGGTTTATGTTTATTTCTGAATAAAGCAAACATTATATTAAGACAACACAGTTTTAAAATTATCATAGATTAAAGAGTGTAAAGAGAAGTAGCCAATTTCTTCTAAACACATTATAAATGTCATAAATATCTTGTTCTATACATGTAAAAAGTGGAACTAGAATAAAGGTGTGTCTAAAAGTGCAGCCTCCTGTCCACACGGCTGCCTTCAGAATAGGCCCCGCCCCCTGCTGGCCCAGCGGTATAAAAGTGAACAGTGAGACAGCTTCTTAATTGTTGCCAACAAAGTGACTCTGTCATTATATTTAGCACCATTTTAGAGCCCTCTAGTTATTCCTTTTCAAAAAAGTAGAAAATAAAAAACTTGTGACTTTTTCTTTGATAGGAGACTTTGGTGACAGTACAAGTACAGATCGCTCTGAGTTTACATTCTTCAGTGGACAGGTAGTGAGAGAGCCCCTCCCTCCTCTAAACAGGGAGTCAGATTCAGCAGCTGCAGTCAGAGATCGGCGTGACTATCCTTTTTTCCCCATTAAAAATAAAACAAATATGCATTAAACTTATACTGATCCCTGCTGAATTAAAAATCAGAGTGTAAATATAAAATTTTGCTAATTTGTTTTCTGCAAAAATGTTCTGATTCGGTCAAAAAGAATAAGGCATAAAGTAGGCGTGGTTTCAGTGGCCCTAGCGGACACGCCCCTAGCGTCTGAGCAAAGAAAAGTGATCTTTTTTTCATTAGTTTTTAGTTTTAATACCCAATTTTAAAAGTTTGGTTGTTTTTTTTATCATTGAAATGCAGGAGAGGCATTAATAAAACATTTCTGTTGTCTGAAAAAATGAGAACACAATACTACTAGTGCCAGTCCATTCGGCTACTTGTGCAGCATTTTTTTTAGTATACTTGTATTGGTTTGATATGTAAAACTGGGCTGATATTAGCAATCACTGATCATTTTCATGCAGTCACTGTTTCTGTTTCAGGAAGGAATCGGTCATGTATTTGTTTGGTCATGCGACAGTGCAGCTCAGGATTATGGGCGTTTAACCAAAGTCAGTTTTTCATTTTGTTCAAAAGGTAAGGAGACAATAAATGATATCAGTAAATATAAGTTATTGGCCACAACAGCGGAATTAATATAAAATATTGTCATTGGCCCAGATGTTCACATCAGCGCATCCCTAGTGTTGCTAAATGCATTCCTTCATGAGATTTTCTTTGAAATTCAAGCTCTAAAACATCAGTGATGTTTTTATGCCAAACAGAGGGAAACCAGGAGCTGTTTATAATCCTATGATACAACAGGTTCCTAGCAATGCGGCAACAAGCTGCTTATTTTAGGAAAGCAAAAGGAAACATTCAAAATCAAAACATCTAGATGATATCATCAGGATAAATTACTAATATTTTATGATGTGTTTTATTCAAAAATATATTTATAGTTTTATAACTTTAACTATTAGATGCATATCTTGTAAAACCTATTTTCAAAAAAAAAAAAAAGGAACAGAAATCAGCGAGAGATATTTTAATAGATCCTCTCAGCCCAAACTGACCTCTGTTGTACCACCTCCAGGTCCTCCAGTTTGGTGGGGATCTCCATGCTATCTAACCACTGCTCCTTCTCCTCTACCCAGAGCTGGCAGGCATCAGCTTCGCTGAACATGCGGTACAAAGCCAAAGCACCTTCCAGAGCCTGCCGCCGAGCTGCTGACAGAGACTCCAGCTCTTCATAGCGCTGCTCGATAGCAGGAAGACGTCCATCCACCTGGAGATGGCCAATAACAACCACTGATCACATGGAAAAAGTAATCTGGGGGAAAATTAAAAAACAGAGCTGACATACTTCAGGGAAATTAACGTAGGCCTCTGGCAGTGCTTGGACCTGCTCATGGAGTGAGTCAATAACAGGACGGTGGCTTTGGATCTCCTCTTCAATCTCTCTCTGCTTGCGAGCCAAAGTTTGGGTGGAGAACTCGTCATGGCCAACCTCCTGACTGGACACCTGTCTGAGAGTCTCCATAATCCAGGCCTCCATGTCGTTGGCATCCGTTTGAAACTGGTGCAGAGCCACGGATTCCTTCAGGCTCTGCTCTCTGAGCTTTGTGGTCTAATAAGATAAAAAACGTCATATTAGTGTAAATGGAATAGATAGTTTAAAAATGACAAACATGTCTGCACATCCCACCTCTTCCAGATGACTCCACTGTTCACGGATGTCTTGGATCCTTTCAGTGACTTCTTGGGCCCCAAAGTGTCCCTCATCAACTAAAGCCTCCCCAGCAGCGATGCTGTTACTAAGGGGGCCGTAGCGAGCCGCCATCTCGTCCCTGAAGGCCTCGTGTTTGCTCAAAAGGTGAAGAGCAGAGGAGAGGTCCCGGCCGCAGTCTCCGCTGGAGAGGATCTGCTCCTGCTCCCTGATCCAGGCTGCTTCCTCACCAATATCCCACATGAACTGCCACAGCCGGCGTGAATCCTCCAGACGTTCTCGCCGCTTCGCTGCAAGCTGACCAAGCTCCTCATAGGCTTGACCCAGCAGATCCACCTTCTCACTAACAAGCCCGGGTTCACATGGCTTGTAAGCTTCAGGTTTGGAAGGACAGAAGAATGCATTTAGATAATGACAAAATGGACAGAGAACGTTAAAGAGGACGTTGGAAGCCTTACCCTGGTCGTAGGAGGTAAAGCGCTGTGCAGCTCCTTGCACCGCTTTGATCCTTTCTGCCTGAGCTGAAATGTCAGCTTCTACCAGATTGTGCTTTTGCAGCAGATCCAAAACGTCATGCAAATGTTTTCCACTGTCCTGGGACTGCAGGCGACCCTGAAAAGAAAAAAAAGAAAAAGAAAGAAAAAAACTTTATAAGAACATTGCAGAGATAAACATTTAAGTTTCATCGCTTTCAGCCAAACTACAAAAGAAAAAAAAAAAAAAAAAAAAAGTTTTGTTTTTTTTATCTAATCTCAAAACATTGAGCTTAACTTCTTTTTTTTTTTTTTTTTTTTTTTTTTAAACAGTGTCCTGTCTGGCGATGTGGCAATAAGAAAAAAATTCTTGATGCCAAAAAGAGCCCAACAGATTTTGCTTTCACAAGTGGAGCAGTACGGCTATCGCCATAGTGTTTGCTTGTTATGCATATAAATAGCTTTATTATAATTATGCAGGGAGTTTTACAGATTATATGGACACAGGAAAAGAAAAAATATAAAAAAGGAGAAAAGATGAAAGAAAGATGAGATAAAAGGGGGAAAATGATAACAAATTTCAGTCTGCTTCATCACCTGCAAAGAGATATGAAAAGAACAGCACAACCAACGGACATGATACGAGATATACAATAAAGTAACACCTAGATACTATCGCTGAAGTAGTATTATTTAATCTGACATGTACTCTGTGTTACCTGAAGATAAGAATGTGGGCTTTCTGTATGGAAGTGAATCTCTGAGTACCTGGAACCAAGCACCTTTAGTTGTTTGTGAGAGTGCACGTGTGCATGTAAAGTTTATCCAAAGGAAAAATGCTCAATAGTGGTTGTGGAGCGCCGAAGAGGCACCCCCCCAGAGCACTGAGTCCAGCACCGGGAGACCCAAAGCCCCAGACGCCCAAAGGGACCCCAAGAGTGAAGGCACCAAGGAGGGGCCAGCCCCGGAAATCTGACCCCCACCAAGGGAGGAGGAGAGACAGCCCCGAGGAAGTCTCCCTGCCACCGCAAAGGTGGAGCCCCCAGGAGTGGGCTCCGCCGGCAGCCAGCCACCCCGAAGTGAGTCCGGCCATGGGCCCCAGGGATCCGAGGCCCCAGGGGCACCCCAACCCCGGCTGGAGCCCCGGAAAAAACTGCCAGGGACAAGCCAGTAGCCACCCGAGCATAAAATCTATTTTTAAAAAATATGATAAAAGGTTTCAAGTTTGCTTTATACGCAAAGATCACCGCAAACTGAATGTCCAAATACAACTTCACAAAAAGGATAAGGAAAAAAAATAAAGAAATGTTTTCAGAATCACATTTATCTAAAAAAAAAAAAAAGTACAATAAAAAGCGACTCCTAGCCATTCAAAAGACAATCATACCAATGTCTACATAGTACAGATAAGTATTTTACTGCATTATCTTTAACATTAGTCAACAGTAGGATAATTCTGTTATTTGACCCGTTTACATTACAAATTTTGTCGATTTATAGATGTGACAGACGTGCTGATTTAAAAAAAAGTTTGAACAGAGAATACGTCAACAAACGTTGTTCTAATGAGCCAAGAAGAAATACCAGCATATCCAGACTGGCAGAAACCAAATAAAACCAGTTTAGAGTTAAGATAGCATCTCAGAATCTAATTCCCCTAATACTCCAAATGACTGTAGTCTGCCTGAGTTAACCTCAGCAAAGCCAACAATGACAGGCAGCCGTTAGCCAGCACCCTAACGGCTAATTACTGCAATTAGAAGCAACACTAAAGCTGCTGGGAAACAACCATGAACAACATCTATCTCACTTTAGAGGATTAGCTGAGTCCTTTTAGTTAATTAGGAACCAAAGCGACAGAGCAATAGACAGACATTTAGAGAAATAGAGCGGGTTTCTTTGTGTGATTTTACCTTTTCTTCGGCCATCCAGTCCATAATGTAACGCATCTCCTGGAATAATCTCTGCAGATCCCGGTGGGAGTTCAGACGCTCCCTGCGAGCAGCCAGAAGTTCTTTTAGGTACTCCCACAGTCGAAGGACGTTGTCCCTCCGTGCAAGTATGCGGCGAACATCATGATATCTCTCCGCTTCCAGCTCTTTGGCAACAGCTTCCACAGCAGCCACCCGCTCCAAGTATGCACCGATATCCGTCTCAATTGCTTCATGTTTCCGTGTGGCAGCTTCTACTGCTCCCAAGTCGGTTCCAAAATTGTCCTTACAACAACAGCAAAACAGTGAATGACTTTGAGGCTCAGTATTCAAACACTAATCATTTATCAGACCTTGAAGGACATGTTTTCTACCTGAGACACTAATCTCTGGTTTTCACTCAGCCATGTCTCCCTCATAGCTGCTTTGCGATCAAAACGGGCCGCAAGCATCTCTAGCTTCTCTTGACGAATCAGTTCAGTTCTTAGTGCGAGCTCACGCTCGTGTTCAGCCTTTTCCAGTCGTTCCCAGGCCTGTCAGACAGATGGATGTATGAATCATGCAGCAGGTAAGTTTAAAAGATTTTATATTTTGAAGAAGTGAGAGAAAAATGTTTCCATTTCATTATTTGACATTTTTATATAATTTTCAGGCATTGAGATTAGATTCAAATAATTGCTCTCTTGGGGTAAAGTGTTTAAATATGCAAAATGAATCTTCTATTGCATCTACAACAGCGGATTTAAAACAAACTATTTTAATTTGTTCTTTATTTTATATAAAGGTGATCAATCCCTGACTTTCTTAGGGGGGTGGGATCAAGATGGTAATTTCTCTTAACCAGAGATCAAAGAGCATTTGGGAACTTTCCTATAACCACCCCCAAAACCCGCCCCTGTCCTTAAGTGTGCACTCTTTGTCTGCTGATGGTGCGCACAATATGCCCCCCTGGATAATGCTAAACCAAAAAAGGTGCAGCTGTATCTGTCGAAATATGTTTTCATAGCGCTGGATGGAGGTCCTCAAACAGGTTTCTCACGAATATGTGCAAATAAGCAGGTAAACGTGTTCATAAGCGGCTATGCTGACTGGAAGTTAAAATAAAGGCCTAATTATAGATTTTGACAACTGACAAGGACTGTTAGAGAGAAAAGAATAGGATCATTATGATTCTGTACAGAGGAATGTGAAAAGATCCCCTGATGATATAGCTTTGCCTCTTCAGTGACAAAGATCAGACATGGCATGTAGAAACACTCCCATTGACCGACTTTGATAGCTTTAATAGTAACGTTCACACTTGAGAATATGGAAATAAAATCCCTGGGGGCCAAATCTGGGTGCAGCTGGTGAGGGCTTTTTAAGAGACAATAATAGGGGAGTATTTTTCCACCTAGACCGGGGGCAGATATGAATTGCATACAAATACTAGTGCAATAAAAAATGTATTTATTAACAGCTTTTTTGTACAGGTTTTCACTGAGACGCCACAGTTATTTCCAGTAATGTATTTAGATCTTGCCAGAACAAACCCACCTTATTTATATCAGAGATGAGTTTGCCTTCTTTTGGCATGTAAACCTTTTGATTGTTTGCTCTCATTTTGCTTTGGATAGTAAAGAGAAGAACCTCCAAGTTGCCCTTTTCTGTAAATCTGTGGAAACAAGACACGTTTTGGATTAAGGCAGGTCTATATTTTCAACAGTTATCCATCAGATAACAAACACTCACTTAGGGGGTTTCTCCACAGTCCTGTAAGAATTGAAGGCCTGAAGCTGGTTCTGCACAGCACTGAGAGAGTTAGCCAGCTGCCGATCGTTGAGCGTCACTATGGTCTGCTCAATCCATTGCAACAGCTCAGACGCCAGGGTCTCGTACTTCTCTATCAGTTGGTCAGCCTCAATCGCATAGTCGAGGACCTGCAGTGAACAAAACGATTAAAACTATCTACGGTTACTCATTGATCAATTTCTGCTTAAGGTATGCAGGCATGTCTCTGATATTTTTTATACTGCACAGAGTAGAGGATTTCTACCCTCCTAAAAAAAACCTTTAAAGTGGTTCAACCTGGTTCTACATTACATGTATTTACACAGCTTCCACTTTAAACAAGATTTATCCAAAAGTCTCAAATTAGGCGCAGCTCACCTTGCCGATACGTTTGCCTTCCACTGCCAAGGCTTTCATCTTCGAAAAGTAATGATAGTAGGTCGCCACATAAGTGATAATTGACTTCTCATCTGGCTGATCAACATTGACATCTAGAGGGAAAGAAGAAACTTTAGATATGACAAAACAGCCTTCTCCATTTCTATTTCTGTCAGTTCAGGACTTGTTGATTGATAACAAATTTTTTTGTGATAATTTGCCCCTAAAACTTTGTAGCCAAGTATTTAAGAGAAAAGCTTGGTGCCTCAGTGAAGAGCAGCCACTCACCCTCTGGGTCCAACAGCTTGGTGAGCCCCATCTCCTTCTCAGCCACGTTGAAAGCGTTCTGAAGATTGTAGTGAGCATTGGACCTTTTCAGGTTGTCAAACTCGATCAGGTCAGGCCTGCAGATGACAGGAAACATTTGATGTGTCATTAGGAGCAGAGTATAGATGAACAACATAAAAAAAATGGACAAGAACATTCTAAAGGCTGTACAGGTAAAACGAAAAGAAATTTGAAGTAGACGGACACCTATGAACAAGCTTTAATGAAGGGAATTTTAAAAATCTCCATTGTTTTTTTGTGAGTTTATTTGTGAATTTGGAGAAATTTAAAATGTGTCAGATGACTGCACAAATAAAAGAACTATAATTGTAGATTGATTGAGTGAAAATCTGTTTAAAAAGATAATATTACTGAATTTAAAACTATGTTTTTAAGGCTATCACATGGAAGGGATCACAGGAAGTTAAGCTGTAGGTTTCTAACTGGGCCAGTTAATCGGTAACTAAAGTGAAAAAAATTAAACACCTCAGTAAATAAGACACTCCTTTATTGTATGCTTTGATTAATTCATCAAGACTCTCTGTTCTATTTGAGGCAAGAGTTAAGGATTAATCTTTGTTCTGCTTTTATTTATACAATAGAAATCCATTGCCCAGCAGGGTAACCAAAGATGGCTCTCTATAGAAAACATGAGGGTTATTTTGTCTGTGATCTAGGTCATCTTTCTCCCCATTTTATTCTCCTCCTTCCAGTTATACTACAGACAAAAGAATGGGAGGGCAATGAAATGGAGAAAGGGGGAAGGAAATATCCCTTAGCCTGCTGCATTTAATGTAACCAAAATGTAGAATTATTTAAATGTTTTCATGTGTTGAAGGAATATCTGAACTAATCACCAGCATGAAAAAAACCCTTTGATCAGAATCTTCAGTGAAATGAACCAAACAGACCACCTTTAATCTAACGAGTCACTGACCTGTGTTTGTGCACAATGGCATTGAACGCCAGGCCGTCCCTCCAGCTGGTAGTGAAGTTGTGTATGTTGACATTAGGATATCTGTAGAGGTCAGAATAAAGGGCATTAATCATTAGCTCAGCACCTCTTGATACAATATTAGCCTTTCAAGTTAAAATGTGAACTGTAAAAATATTGAGCAAACAAGCCCACCTTAATCATAGAGATCATAAAATGATAATAAATTGATCAGAATAGAAGAGAACCGAACAGAAGAGACTTATCATCCTTCACTGGGAAATTCAGGAGTATCAGCAGCAAAATGACAAGTAAATGAAAGCACACAGAAAATATATAAATATATATGTATATATAGTAAGAGCCTATAAAAAAAAGAAAAAGGAAGAGAATCTAAATATGCACACTGTGCTCTGTATTACAGTGAACATGACAGGCCATTAACAAGGAAATGAAAAACTTCAGACAGCAGAAATGGAAACAACTGATGGGGTTTCCTTGGAGCATTAATGGTTATGGAGCCTTACAGCTTCAGGGAAGAAGGACCTCTGATTATGCTTTTTTGTGTATCTAAGCTGCAGCCATCTGCTGCCAAAGTAGCTCTCTGGGTCTTCAACAGTTTCATGGATGGGAGACACTGTGGAAGATGACTTTTTATCTTTTACCAGCTGCACTGGGCGTCCCAGGACAGTGCTGGCCTTCCTAATTGGCTCATCTAACAGGGATTCATCTTGATGGTTCATTTAGTCAATTACATGAATGTAAAACCCTTTAAAAAAATGCATCTCTCAGCATCGTGGCACTGAGGCAATCAGTCAGTGGTTGAAAAAGCTTAGGTTGCTTTGGTTGTATTGTTGGAGATGCTGTCCTTCATCTTCCTCCTAACAATAGATTCTTGGTGCCGGTTTTGGTAAACTCACTTTGCTGCCTAATTAAACATAGCAACACCTTATTTATTTAAACGGATATTGGTAAGGGTGGGGAGGCACCAAGTCCTGCTGGAAAGTAAAGCCAGCAACATTATCATTGCTTTGAATTATCCCGTAGGACAGCTGCACTGACTGGACACCGACTTATACATCAGTAGACTAATTTTGTCCAATGTAAGCGATTTTTTTTTTTTTTTTTGAATGGGCCAATACTTGGCTGTATTTGTGGATTCATTATTGCATTTAGCAGCCATGCCTTGAGATCACATAAGGCCATTATGTGGCTTCATGTGATTTGCTATTCATTGTTAACATTTAGTAATTCAGGTGTCACTTTTATTCTAATTGAGACTTGTGTATTATTTGCTTTAATCCTCTTAGTTTGTATCATGTAAAACAGAGAAAGCAATATCGGCCTAAAGAATCAGCCCAACAAAAATTTGCAGCACATATCAGGCTTTGGTTAGACTGAAACTTGTATCTGCAACTGTATTAGTCTCCGTGCCATCACTCAATGGGAACTTCACATTTCATCTCAAAGATCTTGTATTCGGTGTGGGACCACTGATCAGTAGTGCAGCCACTTTGCTTCCTTGCTCAGGTAAGTCCCCTTTCCCTTTGTCTCCATCTCTAATATTGGGGCTCCAAATTGCCAACCTGGGGATCTTCTAAAAGTTAGCGATTTCTCTATAGCATTTTTTCATTTCCAAAATGATACAAATATTTTGGCTTTAAAAATTGACCCATACTTATAATCACCCGCTATGATATTGGTATGAATTATTCTTACATTTAATGCTAATTTTGTACTGTTAGATGTTAGAAAAGTCTTGATAAATCAATATTACTCAAACAACAACCAACTAGATTAGGGATAAGAGGAACTGGCCTATTCATTATTGACCAATAGTTACACAAACTCTAAACGGAAGAGGAAAGTTTCTCTCAGCATGTGAGATTTTAGATCCAGGTTTGTATCCAAATTTAAGTTTATAGAAATAGGTCCTGGATATTTGTTTCAGTGTTTTACTAGATTATGTCCCCCCTTAATTTTTTAGAATTTGATTTTTCTTTTAATTATAAAATAATGCATTTAAGAATTGAGTGATAATTCTAACTATATGTTAATTTAATAAATTGTGAATTTAGATATTCAATGGTTCAATCATTTATTTCCTGGGACAACATAAAAAAATCATGATATTCAATTTTGTCCCTTTTTGCCCTCCATACCCTCATCAAAATGATTCTCATCTTTTTAAAATGTGTCACTGTTTTTCTTTCTACTCAACTTTCCATTAAAATCCTTTGACACAGATCTCCGAACAGCTAGCGTCTTTGGCAGTGACCTTTTCGTGGCCTTCCTTTTGATGGCGTGCGTCAATGACAGCTGGACAGCTGTCAAGTCAGCTGTCCTGCACATGATTGTTTAGGGCATAATATGGCATTTAAATAACATTACTGGATTCTGTTTTTGTCTTAGTCTTGCATAATATTCAACATCATAAGTCACAGGCTTTCTAATTTTCATAAACTGAAGGCCAAAACCATCAAATCTAACAGAAACAAATAAATAATGCATATTGTGCATTGTATAAATAGAACTTAAATGTTACAGAAATAAACTGATGTAGATCAGCTCCTCAATGATAAATCAAGATTTTTGAGATGTAGCTTTCTTTCAGACTTGCTGGTTTCTTACCCGGCAGTTTTCATTTGGCACCAGAGCAGAAGGGCATCTTTGGCAGACTTTTTCTCCTTATTGTCTTCTGTTTCCACACTGATGTCCTGGATCTGTCAGAATATGTGTCCAGGAAGAAAATGTATTATGAAGATGCACAATTTCCCGATTCATTGACTTAAAAATCAAATTTAATGCAAGTAGTTTTGTATGCCATTTAACCTTTTTTAAAGTTAAGAAAATAATTGAGAAAATATGACAGCTCATAACTTAAATATGAATCATTAAAAGAAACACTGTTTTTAAGACATGTCAGGGGAAGTGCAGGTTTACATGGGAATAATAATGACTTCAAATTACCTGGAAACGGAGGATTATGGTCCATATGAGACCCAAGGTAAGACGGTGATTTCCATCCACTATGTCATGTGAACCCATGTTTTCTAGATGGACCTTTTGCTCCTTGAGAAACTGCAAAGCTTTATCAACATTCTCAAGGCAGTGGATACGCATGCGGCCCTTAGTGGGTTTTGGCTATGGAGGGAAAAAAAAAAAGCACACAATAAGTACTCTTTAAATAAAGAAGTTCAAAAAAACACATCAAGTGTAATTGAGCTAAAAAGAGCAAAAGAAGTAGAAACTGGAACAAACAAACAAATCTCATGATTGCCCCTGCTTGTGACTTGTCGTGGGGGTCAAGGTTGGGTGAAAGAAAAGCGGTTTCTCTTGTGTACTGACCAGCTGTTCTCCTGAGAGGACTTCCAGAAGGCGGATTAACATGCGGCCATCCCGCAGGTCTGTGTACAAGTCACCAATGCGACAAGTCACTCGACCTAAGTGAGAGTTTACCCATTTGGTAAAAGTCTTCTTCTGCACGGCTTCTCGCTCATCTGTGAGAAATAGCAGATAAACTAAAGTTAGCTCACATTCTATTAACTTAGATTCTCTGTCCTCAACAAACTTTCTGCAGAGTGGGCTGTGCTAAAGACATGTGACTTGAATGTACATGTTAACAGAAATCACCTCTTCTTTCGTTTATTCAACCCAAAAAGAACAGACCCCAGTCAAGACCAACAGTTAGCTTCAGAAGTTGAGGCCTTACCTTGTTTACTTCTACAGGCGAATTAGTGTTTTGTGTTTTGCACTGAGAGTTTATGATCTTAAATGAATATTTCAGGTTTTTTGAAAGGAGGTTCAGTTGAAAGATTACAGGTAATGAACATCTTATTTGCAGTAGATAGCGCCCTTGGCATTTTCATTTAGTGTAAATCCAGATTAGTCGTTCCTCAGGGCTAAAGCCAATGGTTAGTGGAAGAAGAGCCAAGATGAGCTAAGCTTCAATCAAAACATCTACAATGTCAGGAATTCAGCAACCAGTTGATAAAATACTGTTTTCTATCCTTAAAACCAATGTGGTTTTTTTAGGTTGGGAGTTATTTCCACTGATCCCATGGTTATTTTGCACACGAAAACTGACTATTATTAAAATGGTTTTCACACAAATATTTAATCCATTATCTCAACTATGCCTGTCTGTTATCACACAGTAAACCAAAAACGCTTATTAAATGTTCCTCTCATGAAGCATGTTTCCCCGAGGCTGATCACTGGCGGCACAGAGCCTCCATTTCCTGTGTAATCAACCATCAGCCTCTGTGTAAATAACCACCCAATGCAAACAGGGAGGTTGCTTGAAAGGTTCATGGAATAGTAGCAGCTTAAACTACAGTGACATCTGAGATTAGAGGTTTTTTTTTTCTATTAGCCTCACCCTCTGGGGCCAACTAATCTGGATTTATACTGAACGATGACACCAAGAGAGTCATCTACAACAGGTAAGATATGAACTGCATCTAAACTTTTCACAAAACCATACTTTAAATATCCCTAACTGTGCCTTAAAGATCAAGATGTATTTATGCCACTTGCTCATTTTTAATATCTATAACGACTGAGATTCAAGAGAGAAAATGCATAATACCACCACATATATGCATACATTTTTGCTTGTTATGTAGGCTATGGACAAAGAAGGAAGACTATACTGTATGTGGTCTAACCCAGACATATGGACTAGAGAAGTAAGAAGCTAATCCCGCTCCGACAACTACCCAGGTGACCTAATTTCTACAACATGAGGTCTCCTTCTCTTTAGAAGACAGGACTCAAGGAATGCTGTTGTTGCTCTGCTTACTAAACAATCGGGGACCAAAAACCCATCAAAACCAAAGAGACCTGCAGCGCTATACATAATAAGTGCTGTATATCATTCATTTTAAGGGGTCCAGTGACGTGCTTTGACTTAACGAAGTTCTATGGCAGAAGCTCAATCTGGTCGCATTACAGGCTTTCTGACAAAATGATGATCACCCCATTGGCGTACTCTATTTTACTAGTTTCACACTTTGTTTTTCACTCCATACATTTGTGACCTCAACTTTTTTTAAAGTAAATATGGAGCCAAGTAAGTCAGAATGTCCCTGGCAGAGATGTAAAAGAAAAAAAGAAGTTAAAGATTGAGTTGGAGGAAAGCACCAAGTTGCTGATTTAGTGGATGTGCTTGTAAGTACTATCAGTTAGAGCAATGGCATAAAACAACGCTTATATCTGCTACTCGTATCTTTCGGTTGGAAAAGTTATTTCAATCTCAAAAAAAGTCAGTGTACACACCATCAGGGCAAACATTACTTTAATATGAACACCTGATTTTTGGGCACCTTCAAAGCTAACAATTAACCAAACAACGACTAACCAGTCAACATAAAATCAGAAATTAAATGCGTTTGCAAGCTCCATACGATTCAAATACAATCAACACTCCAGTTAGAGTCAGCAGGGTATAAAAAAAAATATATTATTTCGATGTTCACCATCATCAGTGTTTGTGAATATAAAAGAAACTCACTGAACTAATAGTGGCTGACACTATAAATTAATAAGGTTGTTCGTTTTAGGAAATAATTCAGACTGTTAGAGATCCTAGTTAGTTATATCTGATGGCTAAATGGACAATAAATTGAAAGCAACATGAAGAATGTGCATTCAGGTACCCAGTGACAGCTTCCTTTGCTAATGTAAACCACTACCTGTAGGATAAAAGAACAAAAAGGAAGAAGATTGAAAAAAGGACTTACAAAATCTCATCAATCTCTGATAAAAAGTACTTCCTGGTAGAAACAGATGAATATATTGGTTGGCTGATATTTTTAGCAAATTTTTATTGCATTGGAATCGGTCAATACATGCAGGTTCATTAGTGCATTCATCATCAATGCTCTATGATCACATGACAAGCATGCATTGTTGCTCCTTCATTTGCTGCCTACTGTTGAAGCCCTCTTTGATTTGTTAATAAATTCTTCCTTTTGTTTATATTTAGATGTGTCAAACATGTTAAACATGTTATCTATGAAAATAAAGGAAAGCAATAAACTGATGGCAAAAACAGTCCATATCAGATTTAAGAAACATCTATCGGTTGATCTTTACTTCATGTTAGTTCTGACAAAGCTTGACAGAATCCAGCAGAAAGAAAAAGTAAGTTTCCCCCTAATTCTTTAGAGACACTCAAACAATGAGAAACTGAGAATGCAACCAAAAGACCCTCAACTTCCTCTAGAGAACGAAAGGAAAAAAGTTGAAACCTATTTATAAAATAACAAACTTTTATTAGACTTGAATAAAGTTCCATTTAAGAAAAACTAAATTAGAATATACTGTTTTAAAGTATGTGATAACGGTGGTAAGGATCAGTAGAACCCTTTAGGAGCCATGCTCTCATTTCATGCTATGTTGAATTTTCACTTGCTGAGATTTTAAAGCTATCAGTACATTTCTACAGAACTGCCTCAATAAACCTGCTTGGTTTGTCCTGATTACACCTGAATACCACGAAAAACCTATTACTTTACTAGGGGCTCATTAGTGAGTTTGGACCTGTTCAATAAGCCTGCAGATTTATGTGGATTTGACAAGTGGAGTAATGCAGAAAAGTCAGCATTCCTTCAGTGGCTTAGTCATGTTATGACAGCACCCAGTGAGAAAGACACCCTCAGGAAATAGAAGGGTCTCCTGGAGGAATTGTGTGTGTGTGTGTGTGTGTGTGTGTGTGTGTGTGTGTGTGTGTATATATATATATATATATATATATATATATATATTTATTTTATACATATAACATTTTTGAGATTTAGTTGAGCTGTTGTACATTCGAGATTAAGAATGCTCATGTTAAACAACAGGAGGAGTGATGCAATCTTTTCTTACTCACTAAAGAAAAAACCTGACAGGTGAGGGAAAAAAAGGCAAGTATGTCTCCACAATGATGTCAGTTGTTGGAGGCTGCAAACATAACTGCAAATTTAAGTTGCAAAATTACAACAGACAACAGGAAGGTTGAGGGGTAAAATACATCCTTTCAAACCGACTCCCTCTAAGTGTAGGATAGCACTGCTGAAACAAAATAGGAACTCTTATTAAAAACCAACACTGGTCGGCTCTCGAGAGAAACAACTTTTTTAAATTCCCCACAGATAAAAAAGAATTACAAACCTGTGATGTGCCTCAAAATGTTAAAGTTAAATACATTAAAGATTTTGCCTAGGGTAACTATAGATAGGAGCACTCTGTGTCAGAAAGCCACTAGCAACGCTGAGTCGCTCTTGGTCTCTTAATCCTTTGTCTTAGAAAGCTAAAAAAGATTAAAAAAAACTCCAAGCGATTCAAATTTGCAGCGCCATGTTTCTTCCCCATTGTTTACTAATGACAGATGGGAAACTAGTATTTAGAGGCATCATTAAAAGTTTCAAGCATATTTGGGCTTGTCCAGCCACTTTGAAAACGTTTGTAGGTGGTAGTAAGCCTAAGTATATGTCAGAGCAAGACTGAAATGAGGGCCTGTCCCAGGCAGAGCACTCTAACAATTGAAGTTACTGGAATTGAGCTCGTTTTCCTTTTTTACAGTCAAACAGACCTAAACGCTGATGGTAATGATTATCTGCAGGCCATCTAAGCAGATATAACCGTAGACCTAATCCCATCTGCGTGGCTCATACTTTACTGTCATCATGTTTAGTGATAACATGTAGGTGAATGCAACACCAACAAAGACTTAGTGGGGGCAAGGGTTACTAATGCTCATTTGAGTATAGTATCCGTCTTCACCCTTTCTCTAGGTGTTAATTAATAATAATAATAGTATATTTGAACTTTACTGATCCAACACTGGAGAAATTAAATCTGCATTTAACCCATCCTCTTGGGGAGTAGTGGGCTGCCATTGTGCTGCGCCCGGGGAACAGTGTGGGGTTAAGGGTCTTGCTCAGAGTGCCAGAGTGGAGGCTGTGGGGATTGAACCTTCTCAGAGCATAAGCACACTGCTCTAACCACTAGGCCAACACTCCCCAAGATGTTACTTCAAGAATTTAATGAAACCTCACATTTAAATTCTTACCTAGATGGATAATGCAGCACTAGCTTGGCACCAAACTGTGGACGTGAACTTGTTTGGTGCTTCTTCATTAGCAAAAACCTACTTTGCTTTGACTCTAATCTTTATTAAAACACCTTTTTTTCTCACACATTCTGAAGAGAAAATGCTGCATATATTTTTACTGACCCAAATGGGAACAAATTATAAGTTCAGCTAGAAAAAAAACAACAAAAAACTCCAATCCATTTAAAACTCTTTGTTTGACAGATAAATAAAGTTGTGACCTAACGAAGGTGTGCAGCATCTCCCTAAAGATGGCTGTCTAGCACCTTAAAATCCTAAACTGGTGGAAAAATGCATGACTGATCCTAAAAGTGGTCAAGTGGCAAAACTACAACCCAAAAAAACCTACAATCTGTTTTCTATGATAATGTACAATAGGAATCACGATTCATACGG